AGGATGAAGCATGTTAAGTCACATTAGCTATAATTGCTTTCAGCTTTCAGAATTCTTAGTGAGTGAAATAACATTATAAGCACTTGCATGGCACAACTTATTGATTTTTTTTTCTTATAAACATTCATTTTATTCTCAGTCAATGAATACTTCTGATCACTGTTTTTCTTTGTACAAGGTCACAGTTTCAGATTTACAATGTGCATGACCGTAATTAAGCATTTAACCCGAATAAACAAGTGCCATCACAACTACAGGTACTACCAAATGTGACCAAATTATAGTAAAGAAACCATCACAATTAATTCTACTCTTGAACTGAAATATAAGACAAGGCTTTGTATGTATACATATTAGTAAAATAAAAAGGTTTGCTTAGATTATGTGTTGAATGACTGTGAGAAAATTGATATAATGAACAAACAAATGCCTAAAAAACAATCATGTAATGAAAATGAAGCAAATACGTATAAAAGGTGGGTGAGGGCATGAAACTGGGTGATTAGATGTATGTGCACTAAATGAATGGGCAAATGAATGCCTCAATGAATGAATGGAGAGTCTGGCTTATGTGAAAGAATAAATGAGTGAGTAAGTGAATGAATAAATGTGTTTTTAGAGAACTGTCCGTGGCTTTTGTAGCAAGTAAGCGTAAGTATTTGCGAACGCACAAACGGATATGCCCATGTGCTTAGCCTGTAGCCTTATATGTCAGCTGAAAAACAAACAACCATGCAGTTCATCCTACAAAAGCTTAAGAAATGAAGCAATAAAATGGTCACATTCCCATCCTGTTATTTCAACTACTGGTTTCAGGTATTTCATAATGCACTAGTTGAATAAGACTTCAAAAAACATAAAACAAATAAAGAGATATATAGAAAACACATTACTTATACTAAACAACAATAACACAGGCAAAGGTTGACATTAATACAAGTTCAGTTATGTATCACAACACATGAGATAATATCACAGAAAAACTAATATACAGTACATGGCACACATTTGCAGGAGAAAATGAAAAATTTGATAAAATGATATTAATAATAATAACAATAATAACAATAATGATAATAATAATAATAATGATGATAATAATAATAATCATAACAACAACTTCCTACGGTCCTGTTTCCGTTTATGGACCTGAAAAATAAGATTTACTCTGACTAGGATCTAACCGGATATATCACAATTTTGTCCTATCTATTTGTGAGTGTAATAGCATTTTCAAATTGCTGCATATCATAGATATGGCACTTAATTTCCAGATAAAAGGTTCACAGTTGCCAGTGTGTGTGTGTGTGTGTGTGTGTGTGTGTGTGTGTGTGTGTGTGTGTGTGTGTGTGTGTGTGTGTGTGTGTGCGTGTGTGTGTGTGCGTGTGCGTGTGCGTGTGTGTTTGCGTGTGCGTGTGTGTTTGCACGTACATATGCACGTGCATGTGCGTGTGTGTGTGTATGCGTGCATGTGTTGTGAGTTGTATGTTGTGTTGTAACTATATTGTGCATTGTTATTGTCTTTTCTGTTGTGAGTGTGCACAATCTTGTGTGTGCTCATGTTTGTGTTTGCACATGTATGTGCGTTTCTGTGTAAGTGTATGTGTCAATGTACATGTTCATGTGTTTGAATACATATGCACTTTGATTTCATTTTGGAAAAAGTCAAATGATGTTCCTAATATGTTAACTATAACTATAATATTTCACAAGTTTCTATCTAAAGGAATTACATTCTATCTTATCTGGACTTACTATGAGACTATATATTTAGGATAATTTTTTTTTCTATATTGCCTTTGAAACAAAAATACACATGCTTGTACCGTTCATGCACTGTAATACATTGGTTATATATGTATACATATAATCTGAAGAACAATATGACATCTGAATGTGAACCTAAAATATTAAAAATATCATAACTATAAATCAATAAAACATATTACATGCTTAACAGTAACATTTTTTTCCCTGTTCATCAAAAACACTTCTTTCAGCATCACCAAAGATGTTATAAAACTCTTTTAATGTTTCTTTTGAGTCTAGGACACTATTCACCTTACCAGCAATATTATAGTAGGCAAACCAAGCATAATCTGTACACAACAATTTACTCCTAAATCATTAAGAGACCGAATTGTCCAATTACTGGAAAGTACAAAATAGTTTAGAAGTATTCAGTTCATATCTATAAAAACTGTTTTTTTTTTTTTTTTTTGGTATATACAATTTCCTTAATATATAGACCATGCTCAAGTCAAAGATCTGGGTTTCCAGTTCCAAATACATACAGAGTATAAAATATACTTTTTTATTTCCAGTTTTCCCCTATCTTTAAATCTTAATCTCTGAAGCCAAGTGTAAAAAAATCTATGTGTAATTTTCTACCACCTTTAAACTCTCCAGAATGCATTTTACAGTCTACAGTCTAATTCTTTTGATTCTTAAAAGTGAGAATATCTAGTCGTTTTGACTGCAAACCCACGAAACATATAACTTTGCGAGCCAATTTATCAGTTTCATCCACCAGGCAATGTGTGTATCTGTAAATTCAAACGCTTGCATTTAACTGAGTATGAATATTATGAAATCTCAATAATTCAATCAATTCATCAAGTTCATTAGCCATGGCAAACAATTTTTAAAACACACTTTACAGATATATGTATAATACCCCATAAAAATAACGTTAAGCACCAACGAGACATGCTTAAGGTTTAGACTTCATTATTCCATACAAAAACACAACCCAAATACACAGACTAGAACATCATTAAGTAAGAAATTTTAATGAATTAATATCACATATTAAATCTGAAAGTTTTAGATTTTTGACATTGATAAATAATACCTCAAATGTTCCAACTACTTTTAAAATTCTTTAAAATTCATATTACATCAAAATGAACTTCCATGAACTATTTTGCATAAAACTAAGAACTACGTATATATCATATATTCATGATTTTTACACTGAAAAATCCATTATCCTTAATAGTAGGTTAAACAGTCGGCTGAATGAAAAAAAATATATCACTGTAAAAAAATTATATCAATAGCAGTATAAACAAGTTCTGCTACATATATCAATCATGTTGAAAAACTCAATTTGAAACTTTGCAACAGAATGGATAATTGCAAAGTCTCAAACCAAATCTCACAAAATTGCATTGAAAAATACTTCATTACTTAATATGCAAATGACAACAATAACTGAGATAATGAGGCAGTTATTTTATGGAAAAATTCAGAATCACACTCTTTCCATGACCTCAATCTAGAATATCATGAAACAACAAAAAAAAGAAAAAAGAAAAAAAGAAGAAAGCGAGGGAAAAAAAAAAAAAAAAAAAAAAAAAAAAAACATTTTCATGAGAACGGGAAATAAATACCCCCCCCCCCCCCCCAAGTCCTACTATTTTGTCATGTGAAATAAAAAACTTGCCCGTTGATTTATTTCTGACAATAAGAATAATTACCTTAAGGAAAGAAAGAAAGAAAGAAAAAAAAAAAACCCTGAAAATCCATTAAAAAAAAGAATAAATAAATAAAAATATAAAAACACCCAACACCAAACTGACAACACTGATAAATACTGATTTAAATATTGATCACCAAAGCTAAAAATCTCACTTAATAGGGCTTTAAAACTAGAAAATTATAGAGCAAGAATAAAACACAATTCTTGAACTGGAAGGCAGTATTACTCACTAACTCATTTCTACAAAAGCAAAAATGTTTTTGAGTCACCTTCATTGTTTCTGTTAAGTAGGTATTTTTGATTTTATATTCTTTTCAGCGCTTTCTCTTTTCATAATCCTGTGGATCTATTTTTCTTTTAATGCATAACTTATTGTCTATAAATACAGCACTATCTATGCATTAACAATACTGTATTATGATATTGAATCAATAACAAGCTAATCAATATGGAAAGAAAAGAAAAGAAATGAAAAGAAAGAGAAAAAGAAAAAATATGGTGGAAATTTCCTGAATCATGTACTAGTAAATGTGACATTCCCCATTCTAGCAACAGACTGCAAATGCAAAATCTGTCCTTAAAGTGTACTATTCCATGTAATCAACCTGTAAGACAGATATCGGTGGCACTGGATTCTCTACAATCTTAAATTACAGTATGAAACATACTGTACAAATAATTATTATAATGATTCACATCACATGACACAACATTTATCACTGCAAGTGAGACAGCCAGGTACTTTGAGTCTTTATAGAAGGAACAAAAATTGTGCCTTGCAAGATATAATATGTTACGTAATTTTGAGAATACAACAAAGAAACAGAATTAACATATATCAATTTATACTTTAAATATGGAGTTATACATATCTCATATACATATGTATTTATTTATTCATTTGTGTGTGTGTGTGTGTGTGTGTGTGTGTGTGTGTGTGTGTGTGTGTGTGTGTGTGTGTGTGTGTGTGTGTGTGTGTGTGTGTGTGTGTGTGTGTGTGTGTGTGTGTGTGTGTGTGTGTGTGTGTGTGTGTGTGTGCGCGCAACGAATACGTGTGTATAAAAATATTATTAAAAAATGATATATAAATAGAGTACATACCATGACATTAATAACTAAATATAATAAATAATAAAGACACAAGTGCTGGATATCTGCGCCTAAGAATCTCTATTCCGTGGGACGGAGTTGGACCACTTCTCATAACCTAAAACAACAAACATCTAATACAGTAAAACCTCTTTATAATATATCCTTTTATGATTATTGTTTAGCAAGACCCCTATAAAAATATGCAAATCATTCTATAATTTACTAATTTTTTTACTGTTTTCTGAGTATGAAAGCTAGAACGAGAGAAAGATAGTATCAGTAAGTTAAAAATGGAGACTGAATTACACAATATAATGAAATGGACTCAATAATATATATATAATATGAAATATATATTCATATAAATCATACTATAAATCATATTTTTAAAAAATTGAATACTGAATATGATTGCATCTGGAGATTTTTTTTTTTTTTTTTTTTTTTTTTTTATTCAACCATGTTCAATATTTCAATGTGAAATTATCTGAACTATAAAGACTTTGAGTGCAATTACCCATTAAAATTTTAATACATACAGTAACTGGCTGGTATCTGGTGAGAGACATTATTTAATTCTCCTAACACTGGCAAATAAAATATTACCAATTCCTATCTATCCAATGTAGTCACTGTATCAAAGATATTATCTTATCCCCCCCCCCAAAAAAAAGGAGGATTTGCATGTTATTCTCCAATACCCTTTTCACAAATTTATCATATCAAATATCATGTTAGATCATTGTAATTACAAAAAAATACAAGAGATTACATGAACAGACCCTGTACTTTAATTAGTATAAATTAATATGTTTTTAATCTGGAAAGTTGTTTTATAACACCCACACTATTAGTGTCATATACTAACTGGCATTATCTGTTTCTGTATCATTTCCATAATTTCTTTAAACCTGAATGATGAATATTAAACCAGTCATGGGGAAGAAATTGAAAAAATTAGCATAATAGCAGAGGTAGGCAATATTGTCGGTTTTCTGATATCTTGCAATTGTTAATGTGCATACTGAAGCCAGAATGTACTGTTTATCACTCAGCTATGAAAATGGCTCTAAACAGCAGCAGTAGATGCCATCTCTTTGGCATAAACAATATAAAAACCATTTTTAAGCATCAAAATTATGGCAGTTGTAACCACCTTTGAATAATGGCACACAGCAATATCATGAGAATGAAAATTACATTGCAGGTGCCTGCTAACTAACCACACTTGTTACCCACAACCTAGTTTTTCTCTTCACATTTTGCAACAACCACATCATGTTCAAAAAAATAGAAATAATGATAAACAAATAGTATAACAGTACACCTGGATAAGAGGATTACTTTGCAATATCTAATTATTAGAATGATCCTGGGCGGTCTTGTACCTACACTGATAACTATTAGGCTTACTGCAAATATTTTAGAGAGGTTTCACTGTAGTAACATTTAGTATAAATAATGATGTAAAACTAAAGTCATAAATGTTACATATAATAATTCAAAAGGAATGTCTGTAATAACCTTAGTGTTCCAACAAGTACTTCAATCTCAGCAGCATACTCTAATTTCATATTGCATACCTTTTCTAATATCTATATATTTTTTGACACCTAGGAACCACGCATGAAAATGCATAGCTAAAAAATCATGCTTTGTGCCAAAGATTTAAAGATGATGAAAATGGCTGTTTTTATTGGAAATAAAGCAATATGATTAATTAGCATAGTAATCTTAGTCTGTGATTATTGTCCTATGGTTATTACTTCTGATATTCCCTACGTAATTTCTTTTTAAACCTTGATATAAAACTGGTGTCACCTTTTCTTGGTCAACAGTTGACTGCTGTAAAATCTATACCATCTTTCCAATAAAAACTGTAAAATCTTTGCCTATAATTCTTTCAAACTGAAGATACAGCCACATACAATCAATACAAGTATCATGCACAAAATATGCAATTATTTCTGTAACATTCACAAATTGGATTGAATTACCCACTTCTTTAAGTACTTCCTATTTCTTGCTTTTGACCACTGCAATTGGTATGCAATACAAAATCAAGAAGAGCAGCCAAGAGTCTAAGTCTGTGGAGCACATGGAAGCTAAAAAGGATGGCAATATAATGAGAATACATTTCCGTGGTCCAAAGGGACAATTTGAACAGATTCCCCTGAAATAAGTTGGTTCACATTCAACAACTGTATCGCCATGACTATGCTATAAATTCTACCTTTTAGACCTACTTATCCAAAAAAGAGCAAATGCTGTCCTTTCAGCAATCTAGTTTCATTTGATTAAAACTACAATCAACAGAAACTGCTACAACAGTGGGACTAATATCTTATGGGACTACAAGAATCAGTATATTCAATATGATTAAAAATATATATATGTGTATATATATGTGTATATATTTTGACCTCCATTACTATGAAACAGAGTATGGAGATATATACTTGGGCATAACGCTACACTGGTGCATCTTTTCAGTTTCTGTTACATGGATTGCAGATAAAGATTTTTGTGTTTATAGATGATTTGTCAAGAATACAGGTAAAGTATATGCTTTTCCTTTTACTGAATAGATTATGAACTCTATTTCCAATTCTCTACCATTGATGTAAATCATTCTTTCCTTGCGTATGAAGGCCAGAGAAGAAGAAAAAGAAAGAGAGAAAAAAAAAGAGAGGAAAAAAAGAAGAGAAAATCCAGATACATACTGGACATGAAGATGGAATGAAAATGCAGCTTATATATTGCCATACATAGACAACATTATATATCAAACTAAACATCCTGAGGGCAAAAGAAATATCTCTATCACCCACCTCTCATGTCCAAATCTTGTTGAACTGTAGCAACAAGGAAATATACCCCTATATATAGCTACTGTTTTTCAAATGGCATATATATATATCTCCAAGTCTACAATTGATAAAATAAACTTATTAATTCTCTAAAATGCATTGCAATCACCACTCTAAATAATTCCTACTATATCATAGCCCATTAATCAATGATCACTATATATGGAAAAAACATCAAGGCAAACCTAGGATGGAATGGATGACATCAAAAATACATCCTATTTCTAAACACGAAGATGTTGTCTTGGAGCAGTCGGTATTTCTCTGAGTTCGGGCAAAATATCTGCTAAGAGGAAACAGAATCACAGAATCACATTCTGTGGGATACTCCTTTTCACATAAAGATAACTTGCATCTATCTAAGGTATTTAACTTTATTCTAACAATGCAATTAGAATACCTACAAAAATATGCAAGCAAAATCATAGCATATATCAATAATAAATCTGTTTTCTCTTTAGGGAGCTTCCAAGATCACTTTCAGGGACACATGCCTCTATGTAATAAAAAGAATACATTAATTTATCTTAATTTTGAACTGTTCTACTACTTATCATCAGAAAAACTGAATAATATTATACCGCTTTATTCAGTAACCTAGTGATGTGTAAATGCCTATCCATAAAAAACCAATTCAAACACTCATAAGCAGTTCAGTCCACAAATATGACACAATTACAAAAGAGATTATAATGACAGTCTGAAAATCTTTTGCAATTCAACTAAAACGAACGAATGAATGTAAATGAAATCTGTCCTCTACACCACCTATTGTTTTCCTACTAAAATTTGAAAAGTATTTGAGCAATGTCACTGTCTTGGCTTTGGATACTACTTTTTCATGTTAAGTAAAAACACCCAATCTGTTATGAGAGACAAATACCCTTTTTGGATACAGTTACAAGAGGAATATTCACTTTGAACGGACTCTTCTCTACTGAGCTAACAATTACAACTGGAAACCATAGCTCATATGATAATGCTACAGATACTTACTAGAATGACATAAAAAAAAAAAAAAAAAAAAAAAAAAAAAAAAAAAAAAAAAAAAAAAATGCATATAAATTTTACTGTTTTCGATAATTTCTTTCATAGTTCACCAAGAGAAACAAAATGACTTCACTAAAATCAACTAAATCAGAAATACAACACAACATTTTTTAACCTTTCTTCCCCTGAACAAAAGTTTATAGACATAAAGCATAAATAAATTCCTCTTATTTCATATTGGTGAAGTAACTGTGATACGGGAATCCACTGTTTTGTATCATCTGAAATAAGATATTTTTTTGTCTTTTATGGATTCCATCAAACCTGTTGTCTATAATTATATAATATCTAGAAATACTAGATATACCCTGACATAAAGAATCTTGGTTATAGAAAAAATACTTATATTTGTCTATCATCTACTAAAATGAGAACTGATGCAATAAATAATCCCTATGGAATTCTAGCTATAATGAAATTCTTGCACATTTTAAACTTCCTGGACCTGGCTCTTGGCCATTGTGAGGCATTTTGAATATATCACATCTCTATATTCATCATATGCATCTATGCCTTGCTACAACACTAATCATCATCCCTTTAATGACAAGTAAAATCTTCTGTAAAGTCCAGCAAGGCCAGACATACATTAGTGCATGCCATGCTGTGCCTGGGTAACTGGCCAGCTTGTGGTTGGGCAAGCAAGATTTTATCGAGTCAAATGCTCATGACATTGTGAGACATCGCCTGATGCCTGTGATTATTCACTATGATGTGATAGCACATCAGCAATGGGCTAACTTAAGTTTTTTCCTTCACTTTCTATGATTACATTTTAGTGCTTGCTGTGATGAATATGGAATACCTATCTCTGCCTATTGGTTCACGTGTCTTCTGTCTGACCTCTTACTGCTATTCTATGGAAACTTTATCATGCTTTTGCAAAATTTGTGTCTTAATGAAGACAAAAGAAAGAGAATGTATGTTTCCTGTCCTTATCTGGTGAAGATATCCTACAGTTACCAGTGTTTTAAAGAGGAAAATCACACGTCTTCAATTCCACTCTATACAGAACAGCATATCTACTGTGTATATACACATTTTTTTTCTATTCTTGAAAGTTTACTAGTTTCTTCCTTGCTAGATCTATCATTAACATGTTGCAATATCAAATATGAATTACTGTCTGAGCAATAATTCAATGCTATTCTTATTTCTTACAGTAAATGTGCTATCTTATACCATGTGAAGATCAAATATGCAAACTTGCTCATATCCTGTGTTTGCCTCCTGTAGATGACTACAACATAGGCAGCAACAAAGCAAGCAGCTGTGTAGAGAGCAAGTAATCATATGCAATTCAAAGCCAAATTCATTTTGCAATAACTATTATCCTACCAAGTCTTTACCTCATTGTCACCATATCTATAGAGCAGGCAGTGCCTTGTGCTACTTAATCCATGTTACAACTGTCAAGCAAGAAATATCCTGTAGTAAAAATGACAAAATTCCTTTACCACTGCATGTTACTACCTACAGCCCTTCTGTAAATTGCCCAGTTAATCTCAAACACAAACAAAAAATCTGCTGCATCACCTATTAACATTTATGACTATTCACTATGTGAAAGTGATGGATATGACAGTTTGAACAAAACAGAACATGAGGATGCAAAATTCAAAACTATATTCCTGAATCAATACAGTCCCTATAAATAAAACTTATATTTAAAAAGAAAAAGTCTTCTACATGCACTTTTCTTAACCTAAGGCACAACAGTGCACAAATAGAAGATACTGCTGGCATAATGTATTTAACAAAGATCATCCAAACAGAAACAAACTAATTTAAAAGGGCAAAAATACAGAATCATCCCTAAAAAAAAAACTTCCATACTTGCATGGCAATGTCCTTAAAGCCATATTGAAAAAGAGCATGAAAATTACCGGGAAACAGACTTTCCTCCGAATTAATGGGTTTCAAAGTGATTTCTACAGACACACATACACATGCATTTCAGTTTTGTGCAGTGAGTTTACATCGGCAACAAACCAACACAATATCTCTGATCTTTTCATCCCATGAAAATTGTGTCATTATCTCCTATACAAATCTTTTACCACTGCATTCATAAAAAAGGTAACAGAATAAAAATATTGTACACCCGTTATGCAGAGAGATGGTCTAGCTTCTCTCTCACTATTTCAGTTCTAAAGTTCTACATAAAGGCCTACAGTAAGAGTTTCTACTGAGTAAAAGCAACACAAAGAGAAGAATAGAAAATATTGGGGTTTATTGTCAGTACACTTAAGTGACCCTGAACTTATAAGAATAAGCATTTTTCTCTCTCTCCATATTCTTATTATTGTTTACATATATGTGTGAGTAAAGATGCAATATAGGACACATTACAAGAAATGAAGTTTAATGTAAGGCTGGATTTTTTTTTCTTTTTTTTTTCCTGTCATTTATGTAAATCATATTCACAGAGTTGTAAAGTGGTACAATAAATAGAAAATGTAGTTTGCCACCCATACATGTTACTCTGCATCAATAAAGGTAGTATAAGATAGAAAGATGCGTGTTGCAATGCAATTCATGTACTAGCCAGTCAACGGTCGCAGGTCAACTCTCACACGCTCGTCCAAACTTCCCATACTGATGCTGGGGAAAAACCCTCCTTTGGGGAGAGCTACCTCTCGCCTGCCGATCATCTGGCCATTCCTCGTGAAAAACACCTGAAAGTGGCAGAAATGCGTCAAGTGCGAGAAAATACGGGATTCAACTCTGTGGACCAAAGCTGGGGAAAATTTTGCAAAGCAATGTGTCTATTATCACACTTCCAAAGAATATACTTAAACTTTGCAGTAGTTTCAAATTTTTTCTTTTAAAGTAAGAATCTTCACACTGATTGGTGAATCAATAACACTGGAAAACAAAATAGAAACCTAAAAAAAAAAGATTGCAACAAGATCTTATTTTTCTTATGTATTAAAACACAGAGAAATGAATGACTAAAGAAAATCCACATGAAAATCACAGGGGCCAACCTGCACTTTTCCTCCAACTGGATGATGCCGAGACGGCTCAAGTGAGTCGTCCTCCTCCTCTTCTTCCTCCTCATCATCGTCATCCTCATCCTCCTCGGAATCGGTGGTTAGTATGTGGTTGTGGTGCTGGTGCTGGTGGAGGCGTGGATACTGTGGTGAGAAATCTGGGGGCAAGCCAGGCTGGGGATACTGTAATAGATGTTCCAGCAAGTCCTCGCATTCCAAAGGTTCTGGGCTTTCTTCTTCCATGCTCCCTCCTTCACTGTGGGGAGGTAAAATCATGTTAGACAATTGAGAATCCTTGTAGCTTTCCTACAAATGACTGCAAATAAATCCAGCTCACTGATCACCTTTTTAAACACATTTCAGTAAAATAACATTTCTATACATGTGCAACATTAAAATTTCCAATCTGACTTTGAGTGTTAATCTTGACAATGCTGCAGCTACATCCCCAATCAACACTTTATAGATAATAATGTTAGATAATAATGTAGATAGAGCTTACCTGTCATAGTTGCAAACATAATCTCTGGGAAATATGATGCCACACCCCATGACATCGCCCTTTTGACATCTTGGCCCAAACAGGGAGCCCACAGTACTGCCTGCAAACACTCTTCCATCATCGGCATGGTAAGCAATACTCCCTCTATTCCAGCCTGGATGTCTATTTTTGGGGTACTCCTGTGAAAAGGAAAGAAAGAAGTATAAATCCAAGGAAAAAAGAAAAAGAAGAAAAAAAAAAAGACCCTGAGAACATGCAGAAAGATACTACATTGTTCAGCATCTTGCATACAAAAAGTTGAAGCATTAAGGAGTATTAATTGTACAAATTACACAAAAATAAAGCAAACAACTTATTGGTATCACAGCTTCCAAAACAACACATATTTCAAAAAGCCCAAAGGGGGACCATGTGTTTCCTTTGGCCTCATTACCTTTTTCGTCAATCCGATGGTAATGTAACCAGACCGTCCTGGATCAACTATTTCCATTTCAAAATAATGTGAA